AAACAATAACTTCTCTGGCTGATATCACATTTTGGAGCTTCATGTCTGGTATAAGTCTCACTAGAGCACTGGTCAACTATGTCTGGTGAGAGACTAGACCGTTCTGATCCAATATTTATTTTTTAAGCCAGTTTTTAAAATTTTCTATTCCTTAAACTTCCTGATCTCATCACTTCCCCTCAGTGAAATCTCCCCCAAAACTTGATGCATATATCAACATATATACAAGTATTTAAGTATTTATCAACATTTCACCTCAGTCATACAAACCATGGAACTATTTCAGGTAATGCGTATTATAATGCTAATCTTTGGTTTCATTTCATCTTATCTGCACTTCATTTCTACTTCTAACTACAACGTATTAAAATACTTATTTGAACAGGAAAATATGCCTTGTTTCCTTTATTTTGTCAGTGAATACAATAACAGCAAGTGACATTATTCCTCTTTTAGAGTAAGGTAATTGGGATTAAAGCTGTGGGATTTTTTTTCAGTTAACCAGCTTTACAGCAAGAATAACACTCAGATCATTTTTTGGTTTTATTTTTCCCATTTTCATCCTAATTAAAGGTAGCTTTAATTTAAAACAAGAAAAATTACAAAAAAATAAATAAAGTTAATTTTAGTAAAAATATATTTTTGGAAGAGACGAAGTCTATTCAGAGTATTTTTTCTTTTTTGCCTTAAAAATACGTATATTTTTAATTCATTAAATATCTTGGCTGAACCAAAGTTATAGTTTTTGGCCAAAGCAAATACTAATGCTGTTTTTTCCCCCTATAAATCTAACTGACAACAGAATCCAGCTTTTTCCTTGGTTAAAATTCACAATCTCTTCTTTCTCCCACTCCCTGGTAATATGACTTGTCAAAATAAATTATAATATCAGAAATGAGAAGAAAGACAGTAAAGCTGATACACTGACAAAAAAAAAAAAAAAGAAAAAGAAAAAGAAGTGAAAAACCAACAAAAAAGACACAGACAAACAAATATCTTCTCACACAAACTGGAAGATCCAAAACAGCGTCCTTGATTCCACAATAGAAATCTTCATTTTTAAGGCTTACTGAAAGCTGAGTTTTCAGTTGGGCCAATGTCTAGTCAAAAATCCTATTATGTTTGGATTGTACATTTCAGTTATTTTAATTGAGATGCCATAAAAACTAAAGAAAAAATGGTCTAAGGTAGTTAAAATATATAATGACTCTTGCTGGTGATCTATTACAATTTATAGTACTTTTTTTTAGATTATTGTAAATTATTGTTCAGGGGAATGTAAAAGGCAAATAAAATCTAGCAGTAACTGTTGAAATTAAACAATTACTGCAGGCTGGCCCTTAAAGGAACACTGCAATGTAATATAAAATCATTTTCAGTCATTACATTTAATTAAAATGGAAAAGAAAGGTAAATCAGGCATTAAGTCCCAGGCCGTGAATATCCTGAACTTCTCCTGAATGCAAAAAAAAAGTTCAGTGTATTCAGCACATTCTAGACTCATGGCTGAGCCAATAAATAGTTCAAGAAATTTAATTTTTTTAAAAGTTCATAAACAAAACAGGAAGATAAAATAAAAGTTACAGCCTAAATACAGATCCTGCAAAATGTTTCCTTGCACTTAACTTCAACTCCCAGCTTTATTGTATACAGTAGATAAAGTTAAGCATGCATCCAAGTCATTGCGAGATCTGGGTCTAATTAGGCAGGCTGCTTTGAGTAAGTGCTACTCAAAAGTACAGTGGGCTAGCCATGTGAAGTTTCCAGAATTAGGATCTGTCTAAATACCATGAACACTCAAACATAGTGAAACAGTGACAAGGATTTTCAAAACGCTCTGGAGCTTATTTTTAATATGGATGAACTTAGGTCCTAAATATTTCATTAAGCCTCTACAGTAATACTACAAAAAAAAATCACTTACAGTGTTCCTTTACATATTTGAACAAAAATACCCTTCCAGCACAACAATGCTATGCTTGTAACGCTAATGTCCATACTTCCCTCCTGGAGCAGAAAAAAAAACACTAATTCATTTCAAATCAGAGAGTTCCAACAGAATGCATGAATGTTTGGCCTTTGACCAATATTTAATCTTTGCATGTACCTTTCCTGTATTATAACATAGCTGCACTATGAATGTATTGTACTTGAGAAGGGTGGGGGGTGGAGGAGGGAACAGGAGTATCAGTTTGTTATAGACAAGGAAAGAAAATAAATGACTTTTTCTATGAACTCTAGACAATCTCTACTTATCTAAGAAAACTGCAGTCAAACCAGAAAGTCACCGAGGATTTGTTTGTGTCTAAGGCCTTATATTTTAAAATTGTTTGAATCCTGTTTCCAATTCCAATTCCAATCCAGCAAGATAACTTTTGTTTCTGTCTTCAGAAGAGTGGCATAAGGTCAACATAGTGGAAATCAATGCAAATGGAAACTATAAAATATAGATGCAATATTAGCAGTTCTTATGACAAGAAGTCTTTTGGAGCATGACATACCAAACAACTCACTTTGCGCCACAGACATCTCATTATTTTATGGGCAAGTGAAGATCTCAGTGAATATAGGATGTTTGTTACTGCTAGTCCAAGAACTGATTGTGGCAGATTTTAAAGGAACCACTGCTGAAGAACTGCACATATATATCCATAAAATTCCCTAGACTTAGTTCATCCTTAAAATTCATTTCCAAGGTTTTGGAAACATAGCATGTGTTAAATATCAAATTTGCTATTGCAGGAATAGTTGCATATTTAGTTTTCTCTCTGCCTGCTATCAGACTGTTGCCCTCTTTGCATTCCTTTCTAAACTATGTTCATTATTCCTCAACAGTTTACATTCAGAAACTATAACTAAGTATAGAAGGTGGTAGAGCTTCTATTTAGTGGGCATCTCTTTAAGAGAAAGAACAATGGTTCAGTAAGGGTTGATAAATAAGATAATGTAGTAGACAAATCGACAAACGAACTTAGGCCACACTAGCCCATTGACTGCATGTTTTCATTTTGCAAAACTGTCAAGAAATTCTCCCCCCGCCTCCAAAATCTTAGGTTTGAAAAAGACTCAGTGCATGCCCAAGTGAAATACAGCAAACCAGCTATTCCTATGAAATTTGTGGCCTTCTAATAAGGTATTTACTATTAGCACTTCTGTCTAAACTTTGTGTAAGCAGCAGGATGCAAGTGCTATTTGTGATACATTTTTTGCCCTCTCCACAATATGTATCCTAATCCGCAATCTAAACAAACTATTTCTACCCATTTGTTCCTAGATACTTTCTCTTAGATCCTAAACCAACTCAAAGTACACAGTCTTTACTTAACGGTCACTTACTTAATACTTCATTTTTCTAATCTTTTTCCAGAGGCCAACCAGACATTGTGTCTTTGTTTGCAATTACTGCTGTGATCTGCCTCAAATTGAGCTACATAGATAGTCATCCATACAGGCAAAACTGAGAGGGCAGTTAGGAACGAAAAATGTCATCAGAACCTCCCACAGGCAAGAGGGGAAAGAATGCTTTCTTCATAAAAGCCAGAAAGTACATGGAGAGTTAGTTACTAAACCCGCAAGCAACCCCAGCAATTTTAACAATGTCTCTTTGATGCGTAGTCTATTCTTTCCATCAACAAAACGGAAGGACTGTATGTGCCAATACCATAATAATTTTCAAAAGGTACAAATACACTTATTTATCATCACATGAACCTGGCTCCTAATAATGTTCTATAAAACCACACAAATTAATTGGGAAAAAAAAAATCTCAGGAAGTGTTCTTGTTCAGAAACAATATTAGTATTTCTGAAATCATTCAAAAAGAAGCCCCGGACAAACCAAATGTCTTTTATCTAGAAGTAAAGGAAGACTTCATAGAAAATATTTTAAGAGTATTTCCTGTCTTAAAATCTAAGGAAAAGAACACTAGATCAGGTGATTGCTGTTTCTGTTTGTGCTCTAAACAGTAAAGAGAATATTTTCACAGATCTGCAACATTTCTGAGTAAAACGTTACACCTCATAAATAAATTGCTAGAACTACTCACAAAACCAAGGCATGTTGCCTAATAAGTTTGCATGTGTGAAGTGTGATTTATTGTAGACACAGTTCAAACAGACTCAGTGAAAATTTTGCCTTATGAGTACTATTAATATCAAAAATAATTTATAGGCATTTCATAGTAGAAGTGTTTATAAATACATTCACCCAGGTTGTTCTGTTTCCTTCCATTCTGCTCCCTTCGGGATATTTGAGTAAGGTAAAAGAAACAGAAAGCTCATAGAAGATAATGGAAGGTTATAGAAAATAGTCTTCATTTCGTGTGAGCATAAAGCCGTATCCATCATTGTAACAGTTTTAAGAAGTTGCATAACAATTTTTCTGTTCATTCAACAAAATTTTTCAATGCAAAAATTATTTTTCTGATGAGAAAGTTTACCCAAAAGCCTTGTCATCGTCCCCCCCATAATATAGAAAGATGTTTGTCTAGCTCATGATTATTAAGATTAAACTGATTACTTACGTGTTTTTGAAAAGTTTGCTTTTAGAGGTGCCAAATGCTTTTAACTTACTTCTGCAACAAATAAAGAAATAGGATGAAACTACAGATTTGGATAACTTAGAGTCTGCTTTTAAGAGTTCATTTTGCCCAACCTGAGCTCCTGGGAAGGTTCTGCTTTTCAGAACAGCACTTCCTAAGCACTCAGCACCTTCTAGGTACCTTATGCTGAGGACTCAAAAGTCACAAGTCACTGCAAAAATACAGGCCAGGACTTGATCGTGGAAGAGTTTATCTCAAAAAAATGTTGAGATTCTCAACATTTTTTTGAGAAACAAAATGTTTCTCAAAAAAATACAGAGATTCAGAGGTAATAATGTTCTAGTTATGGCTGTAGTGGTTTTAATGTAAGAAAGATTAACAAAAATGGTGTAGCAACAATTCTTTTTAGAATTCTGGTTTTAACTCTGAATATTATTTACATAATTTCACATTTTTCAGATGACCCAAGAATCTGTATAAGATGCATTCAGAACTATTATATGTAAGTATAGCTGTGCAGCTCTTCAAACATATACATTTTTCTAAAGCAAAAATACGTGCTTTGCTACATAGATCTGTGCTGTGTGTTATCCCATTCCTTTTAAGTGTTGCCTATCTGAGAATACTAACTTTGGAAAAAGGCTTGGGAAATGCTGAAAAACTAGCCAACTGCTCACTATCAAGGCCTTTTAAACCTTATGTACTGATGTGAACTTTACATATATGAGGAGAGGAATATGGAACAGAAAGGATCTAAAAGTTAAACAATGCCTCTGGATTTGGGCCGATGAGATCCATCCGTGGGTCCAGAAGGAACTGCCAGATGAAGTTGCTAAGCCACTATCCATTGTATTTGAGAAGTCATGGCAGTCCTGTGAAGTTCCCACTGACTGGAAAAGGGGAAACATAACCCCCATTTTTAAAAAGGGAAAAAAGGAAGAGCCGGGAAAATACAGGCCAGTCAGTCTCACCTCTGTGCCTGGGAAGATCATGGAACAGATCCTCCTGGAAGCTATGCTAAGGCACATGGAGGACAGGGAGGTGATTTGAGACAGCCAGCATGCCTTCACCAAGGGCAAGTCCTGCCTGACCAACCTAGTGGCCTTCTATGATGGAGTGACTACATCAGTGGACATGGGAAGGGCTACAGATGTCGTCTATCTGGACCTCTGTAAGGCCTTTGACACGGTCCCCCACAACATCCTTCTCTCTAAACTGGAGAGGTATGGATTTGATGGGTGGACTGTCCGGTGGGTGAGGAATTGGTTAGATGGTCGCATCCAGAGGGTAGTGGTCAATGGCTCAATGTCCACATGGAGATTGGTGACGAGTGGC